ATACGACCTGCATTAGTGCACTTAATAAAAAAACAGAATCATGACTGCTAGAAACAAAGCCAAGAGATGAGATCACAATATAGAATTTCTCAAACCAAGCACGGGGTGCTTATTTGAGACCATATAATGCTTTCTTAAGCTTACAAACATATCCAGAGTCATGTGAAATACCAGGAAGGGGTGTAACGTAAACTTCTTCTTGAAGATCTCCATTCAAGAAGGCATTTTTAACATCAAGTTGAGAAATATGCCACTGACGAATCGAAGCTATAGCAATAAGAGTACGAATAGTAGTCATTTTTGCAACCGGGGCAAATGTCTCCTCATAATCCATACCATACTATTGAGAATATCCTTTTGCGACTAGCCTAGCTTTGTATCGCTCAATAGACCCATCAGAATTAGTTTTAATCTTATACACCCAACGACAACCAACAACACTCTTACTAGGAGGTAGAGGAACCAAATCCCAAGAATCTGTCTTATGCAAAATAGAAAGTTTCCCATCCATAGTTTGCTGCCAAAGTGGATCAAGAATTGCCTCTTTATAGGAAGAGGGCTCAAAGAGACAATGAATAGAAGCTAAAAAAGAAGTAAATGATGAAGAATAACAAGAATAAGCAAAATCTGGTAAGTAAATGATGAAAAATAACAAAAATAAGCAAAATCTGGTAGTTTTGTAGACTTACGTGGAGGTGGATCCACAATCTCAGATGAAGCTTAAAGGGCTGTAGATGAGAATGGAGCTTCAGGTATGCCAAAGAGTAAAGTACCAGTACTTGCAGAGTTATGAGTACAAATTGATCGAACATGGGGAGAGGTTACCAGAATCCTCAGAAAAAGGATTTATATGAATAATATCATATTTAGTCATGTTATGAGTAGTGGGTGGAATAGAAAAGAAAGGTATATGCTCAATAAAGACAACATGACGAGACACATAAAGTTTCTAAGTTATTGGATCAAAACAACAATACCCCTTTTTACCTTCAACATAACCTAGAAAGACATAAACAACGGATCGAGAGAATAACTTACTGTATTCTACATGAGGATGAAGAACGAAACAAATACAACTAAAGACTCTAAATGAGGAATAATCAGGAACATATCCATATAACTTTTTAAAAAAAGATAGACCAAACTATGAGAAGATGGAATTATATTAATTAAACTTACAATAGTAAGAACAACTTCTCCCCAAAACTCACTAGGAACAAAAACAGACAACAAGAGAGAACGAGTAGTTTCGATAATATGCCTATGTTTTCTTTCAGCAACACCATTTCGCTCAAGAGTATCTGTACATGAAGTTTGATGGATGGTTCCATCTAAGGTAAGCAATTGGCAAAATTTATTAGAGGTGTATTCCCCACCCAAATCACAGCTAAAGCATTTAATCACAGCAGAATGTTGAGTTTTGATAAGAGCTTAAAAAGCTGCATATATCTCAAAGAATTCAGAATGATTTTTCATTAAATAAACCCAACAATAACGAGTATGATCATCAATAAAAGAGATATAATATTGAGACCCTCCTTTTGTGGCACCAGGAGAAGGTCCCTATACATCAGAATGAATCAAATTAAATGGTGAAGAAGAAACATAAATACTTTGATTAAAAGGTAAAACAGAAAATTTTGTCAGTTTACATCCACTACAATCAGAAATGTCACAAGTTTTTAAATTTTCTAAAGATCCTATGGATGTCAAAAATCTCAAACAAGAAGATGAAACATGACCTAGACGGGAATGTCATAAATAAAAACTAGAAGATGAAAGACTCAAACGAAAGAAAGACAAATCAACAGTAGTAATAGCAGCAGCGATAGCAGCAACCGGCATTTTTAACTCATCCAAAATATATAGTCCATTCTCCCTACGGCCTGTCTCAATCAACTTCTGAGACTGCAGATCCTGTACACAACAAAAAAAACCAGAAAACATGACTAAATAATCACTAGAATCACATATTTGACCAACAGACACAAGATTCAATTTGAGTTTTGGGATAAGATAAACATTAGGGGGAGAAAAGTGAGGTATGACAACAGAACCAACACCTGCTGGGGGCATAAGAGTGCCATCAGCAGTCATAACAGGAATGAAAGACAAAGGGGACACAGAGGTAAAAGATGAGAAATCTGGAAACATATGATGAAAAGCACCAGAATCCAAAACCCATTCAGAGTGTGACATACCTGAGGAACTATGAGGTAACTGACCTATGGACGAAGAAATGGACATTGCTTATGGCTACAAGGAGAGAAATTTCTGAAATTATTCAGCCAAAATATTGGAATCGGTAATAGAGCCTGGGGAAGCTACTGTTGCAGTATTATAGTGTGATGGTTTATAACCCTGAGGTAGTCTATGAGCAATTGATTGTGACTAACTGTCAGACTTCCAAGCTCAATTCTGTTGTTTCAACTTAGGACACTGAGCCTTTCAATGACCTTTCTGCTTACAGAAACTACACTCATCGAAGCCAAACCTTGTGTAAGGTTTTTTCTAATTATTAGAGAATGGCTTAGAAGGTACTACTAGTACTAAAGGATTTGAAGCAGAAAGAATTTCCTTTTCACAATAAGATTGAAGACGTATTTCTTCAGCTAATAACTCACTCACAATAGAGTCAATAGAAAACAGTGGAGAACGATGCAGAATTGAATCTCTAAGTCGTTCAAAGTCATTGTGAAGTGCTGTTAAAAAAATATATCAATCGTTGCTACTCTCTACGCTCAATATAAGCACCACATGCTTTTAATTCTGCTGATTCTGTAAGAGCCAATTGATCCCAAAGATCTGTCATATCAGAATAAAACTCTTGAATACTCAAATTCTTCTGATGGAGAGCTCGTATATCATTTTCTAATTGATACTGTTTTGCAAAATTTGATTGCGTGAATAACCTTTGCAGATGATCCCAAACCTCTTTTCATACTTTGCCAACTATGTACCTATCGAATGTTCAACAGAATTGTTGATCCAAGTAATGATCTTTGCATTATTTGCCTCTCATGTATCTATCAAAATAGCATCCCCCTCCTCAATATTCTTAGGTATCATATAAGTGCCACTAACATACCCCCACATCTTCTTACCTTTAAGAAAATTTCTCATTACATAGCTCCAACATGAATAGTTCTTCCCATCTAACCTCACACTCACAGACTGAAGTGAATCATCTCTTTCAGTAGCCATAATCAACAATCATAGAAAACTAGAATGTAAAAGTAGCGAAAAACCAAATACCAAATTGCAGAAACTAAACAAAAATTCAGAAACTAAACAAATATCTTCTCAAAACTATATGATTACTCCAAAATACAAAATAAATTTGCAAAAACTGAACACAAATACCAAATTGCAAAAGCTGAAGGGACGAAATACCAAATTTTGCAAAAGCAGAAGACAAAATCTCACTCCAAAAAAAATTATGAATGCAAAAGTTGAATCCGTGAAGCTGTGTTTGGGATTAAGTCTCGTTTCATAAAATCAGCTCTGATACCATGTTAAAATAATTAAGATCAAACACAAAAAAGGAGCTAGAATTCTGAATAATCTGTATATTATAAATGTTTAGTCTTGGCCTAAATATAAATAAAGTATATATAAATTAAATTAAAAATATTATTTTATTCTTGATAAATAAAATTATATAAATATTATTTAACATTGAGAAATGCTCAAGATGCATTTTCCTCTTTTTATTTATTTACGCACTCATTTGAATGTTTTTACACAGTTGGGCAGCGCATAATAAGTTTCAGGCTCTGATATTCACCATGGATAACAACCGTGACACCTTCAACTCACTTGAAAATGGAAACACAATTCACTTCGCATGAATAACCAGAAATTTTTTTTTCCTACACATGAAGGTCCAAGATTATGAAGTGATGAGCATTCTTCTGCACTGTCCGCGTAGAAACAATCATGCTCAAACCAGCGATAAAAGAGGAATGGATCTCTGAAATTGAGTTAGGTTCAAATATGAAATGAACGGTGACACCAAACAAAGACATGAAAACCTGGCTTTCTGAGTTGAAACTTATGCATGTGGACAGAAAAAATGGTACGCAAGCATACTCGCCAGAATGACCCTAATGATATCAAGTTGAAGCCCAATGGCATGGGATGAACTGAAGTATAAAGCTGTGGTTTTCAAAACTAAAGGAAGTAGAGTTCCAGGAGTTTATAATATTGGTAAAGACCAAAATGATGTGCTCATCAGAATAGCTGGATATGCAATCGATTGAGTTGAAAAGTATCAAATGCCAATGCTTCCCCTGAAAGATCCAGGAGTTGATATTTTTAACAAAATTAATGCCTCAGTGCGAAGAACCAAACATATATTTTATACATGGGTATTTTTAGCGGAGTTTATTCAGATGTATAATTTGATTCTCTGCTAGTACATTGCAGTTGGCTTGTACTAGCAATATATAGAGGAACCAAATCCACAATATATCTTGCCTCGACAAGATAATGAGAGAACAAAGCATTGGCTAGAAACAAGATAATGAGAGAACAAAGCATTGTCATTATATTGTAGTGCTCAATTGTGCTATTTACATAGGTATCCTATAAATCGAGTTGAGAACTTTTGTGACCCTCTGGATCTAATATCAACTACGTTATACTTTTTATTTTTACAAGGGAGAGGCTCGAACTCAAGAGTCTTGAGAGGGACCTTATTGCCAGTTGAGCTACATGCTCATGGGTCTTAGTAGGACCCTCTCCAAGACATAAAATCCATAGACCCTTATAGTTTCAACTGGTTTAGTGTGACCAATGAAACAGTCGAACAGCAAACAACTATATCTACTAGCAAGAACATGATTTCCATTGGCAACTGATTTTGTTAAGAATACAACAGGTTCAGGTTTGAAGTGCTGTTATATACCAAGCATATCGCTTCCCCCAATCTCAGACACTTCGTGAAATGTTTATTAAAGAAAACAAGAAGAAGAGGAGCATCCCATGGAAACAGAATATTAAAAGACTATGTCATAAACTTGAAATTTCATTGTGTATTCAACAAGACCATTGATAATTCAGAACTGCATCGTGTAAATTTCTGAACAGGATATAGAACTGTAATTTATGTTGACCAGGAACTATACACACTGAAGCAGAAATCTTCTATTGGCAATTTTCGCTAAGACCCATCAAACTGTTGCTTTGCGCTGAAATCCAGTTCCGGAGTCATCAGTGGAAGGGAAAACCTGGAAGCCAATAACCATAGCATCAGGTGGGCCACGGCGGCACCTCTGCTCCTTTTCCTGTACATTATCAGAATCACCAGAGAATAGATCCTCCACAGAACCATCCCTTCTGTTCATCACCCAACCTTTTAACCCCAATTGGGTTGCATTCTCCACTGTCCAGTTCCTATAAAACACTCCCTGCACATCCAGAAAACCCATCACTCAAAAACCTCAAATTTCCGCATTCAAACAGTCAATTTAGAGAAAACCATTATTCACTCATGCTTAACAATCAAAACCAATTATTGGATTCACGAAGAAGGTAGCATTTTTATTCCGTTCAACTCATAATATTCATTCTCAACCCATTACTAGAAAACCTCTAATTTCTACATTGAACTAGTCAATTTAGAGAGACAGATCCTCTACTGAAAAATGAATAAGAATCAAATCCCATTAGCTAATTCACAAAAAAGCCCACTTCTTTCTGATCATCTTTCATTACCGTTTTGGACCTTTGGTAGAGGGTGATTGAGGAGGTGAGGAATGATTAGTAACAGCCATAGTCATGGACGAGAAGGGGGATCGAAGAGAATGAAAATGAGATGGGAACAGAAAGTAAAGAAAAGGATAAGAAAGAAGAGAACGAGGGCATAGCGAAAGTAAAGAATGAAGAGAACAAGTGCTATGAGAATGGGGAATGGGGAATCTAGGAAACGTTCTAACATTGTAATAATTTTTGTATTTGTTGTTGTTCTTGGTCCATTTTTTATGGAAAAGTTTCGGTCAGATATTATTGAAGGCCCTATTCGGGACTGTGTTTGTGGCATGATTTGATAAATCGCTACCACATCCTGAACACTGCTCAAAAAGAAGAAAGAATCTGGTTGGTCTTTGTGGCCTCATTTGATCAGAGCAGTTGTCTGCCGCCTGGGAATCGTCATTGGAGTAGAGGTGGTGCATGGCATTGGCTCTTCGGTTGACTTGGACGTCCTTGCTTGTATTTTTATTTGTATTTGTACGCCCATTTTTCTACGAGAATCTCATTTTATGGGAGTTGCGGGGGGGAAAATTAGGAACTTAGCAAAAACAGTGTTCCGAGGACTGTCATTAATTTAATTTCTGGATTGGTGCATGTGTCAAGAATTGTCTTTGAGAAAGAATTATTTGAACTCTTCAATTATATGGAGTGTTGAAATTAAATATAGCAGTGATGGACAAATTACTACTGCAGCTTGTCTTAACGCTTATTTGCACGCAATCCTAAGCTGATTTATTTTAACTGTTTAAATAAATTTATTTGTGTGTCCAATGATAAAATAACAATGTTTATGAGAAGTATGGTGTGGGAAGTGGCATTACAATTATAGGGCATTATCTACACCGTAAAAAATTCAATATAACAACTTAAACTTGAAAATTTTTCTAACATGGATTTGTCAATTAGATAAATCTAAAGAAAAAATAATTTAAATTAACATCAATCAATTCACTAAACTTACAATCTAGATTATTAATTTTATTGAGTTGAATAGATTTTTTTTATTTTATTATATAACAAAAAATATATAAATTGATTTACAATTAATTCAACTCAATATTAAATTAAAAAATTTAACATTAAAAAATAAAATTGAAAAAAATATATATAACATAATAAAGGCACAAAAACTAAACTCAAATTTCTTATAGTTCATTATTAGTTTATTTTTTTATATTTCTTTTTATATTTTGTTAAATTTTAAGAGTAAGAATTAAGTGTAAGAGTAGGTTTTTATATTTTGTTAAATTTTGCCAATTGAGTTTTTTTTGTTTAAAATATGTTTTAAAACTGCGAGATTCATTTAAGTTGAGTCATTAAAAATAAATCATTAATCATCTTTTTGAAAAAAACACTTATCTCGAACATTATATATATGTGTGTGTGTGTGGAAGAGATAGAAGGGTGTTAGTGGGATTATCGTTTAAAGATTGGGTAAATAGTGTTGAAATGATTTCATTTCTGCTCAAAGTTTAAATTTTCAAATAGTCTAGAGACAATTGTTTTAGTTTGAAACTTGCTTAATTTTTCATGCTACGCTGAGGATCTCTATTTCAGCCATTCAACTATGTTCATCTAATTTTAAAAGTTTTTATTAAGAGTACCACATGGCCATACTGAGAACAACTACGTTATTTTTCGTGTTTTTTTTCTGACCTGACCAAAAACGTATTTTAACTTGGAAAAGTATCTAAAAGAAAAAAGAAAAAAAACATTTTTTTATTATCATTAGATTCATTATTATCATTACATTCATTTAAATTTAAAAACTCTTGATCTAACATTTTTATTTAGTTTAGATTTTAAATATTATATCATAGTATGACTTTTAAAATTTGATTTTAATCGTTTTATTTGAAAAGAATTTTAATTTAAAATATTAAAAAAAATTAATTAAGTCAAGTGATTGGGCTTTCAAGCTCATGCTCCTAATTTTTAAAATAATAAAGTTAATGCATATATTTTAAAAAAATAATTGATGACATGTTATCTACTATAATAAATTTTAATTATTTTTGTTGGTACAAGTTCTAGGATTAAAGACCTAAATTTGAATATATATTCATCTCAAACCCCTTAAAAAAATCCTAGATTAACCTCATTTCTAACTCTATAAATATTCTAATAAATTAAAAAATTCAAAATCCGAATTAAAATAAATTTTTGAGTTCTTTCTACATTCGAAACTCATTTCCATGCAACTTATTGCTATATAGATTGTTTAGATACTCAGTAAAGATGGTTTTCACATTTTCAGCTCAATTTCGCATTACCATGTAATATTTACAAATTATTTTTTTATTCTCATGTTATTTTAATTTTAAGAGTTCATACATCATTGACATGCTATAAGTTTCCTTAGAGGATTTTTCCTACAATTTATTTAAAATATGAGGAGGGGAAAATAACATGATATCAATCTGTCAACTCATTTCACTATCAGCTTTTGAATTCTAAGTAGCTCGATTACACATGAGAAAATCAGGAAAGCAAGAGAAGAAGAACCAACAGGAAAAGATTGCTTGAAAATGAACAATTTGGAATTATTCAAGATCTTCTCTATCTCTTTTTCCTCATTCTTATCCTATTAATCAAGTTACACCGTGACTAATTGCATGTTTAATTTTGTATTTTAAAAAAATTGTTCTTTATTTTAAATTACTTTTTTATTGTTTTAATGTTCTAATATTAAAAATAAATTTTTTAAAAAATATATTTTCAAACAAAAAATACTTTGAAAAACCTTTAATCACATTTTCATTTCATCATTCATGAATAATAAAGTTTGATTATTTTGATAAATATAGGTGTTGATATATTTATTTTAGAAAGATAAATATGATGAGATATTGTTCGTTTTTATACTTTAAAAGTTTTTTAAAAAAATTATTTTATTTTATTTTATTTTATTATTTTAAATTAATATTTTTTTGTGCTTTTAAATTGTTTTGATGTATTAATATTAAAAATAAATTTTAAAAATAAAAATATATAGATTATTTAATATATTTTTAAATAAAAAATATTTAAAAAAATAATACTTTTATAATATCAAATAAACAGTCTAAATAAAAAGGCTTTTAGTTTTTTTTTTCACCTTTATTTATTTGCATAATACAAGGAAAGAAGCCCGCAGCTACTTCAATGGAGAAACCTTATGTTGCCCGCTTTTTTTCTTTACCAGGTGCTTTTCCATGCCCCCTTTCAAAATCATCATATTCAAGATCCTATGAATAAATTATAAATTAATCCTTTGAACTTTGAAAATGAATTAATTAATTACTTGAATAGTACAAAAATTTGTAACGTTTACTTTCATATTATTTTATTCAGAAAATATCTTTTTTTCTTATAATCTTTTCACGATTTGCATTTATATTTTCCTTTTATTATTTAAAAAATAAATTAAAAAGAAAATATAAAAAAATTAAATAATTAAATGATTAGTTTAAAAAAAACAATCAAGTCATTAAAACTAAAGAAACTACTTTATAATTTAATTGTGAATATATCTCTATACCAAAATAAATGTGTACAACCAAAGAAATTAACCCAGACAATAACTTGAGTTGATTTATGATCAAATTAATCCGAATAAAATCTAATTAAAATTATATTAATTTAAAAAATAATTAAAATAATATTATTTTAATTTTTAAATAAAAATTACAGTTATCCAACCTTATTTTGAATTCAATTTTAAAATTATATCTTATAATCATAAACATTCATTGTTTAGAATATAATAGTTATGTTGTCTAATGTCGGCTTTAAAAATTATGAATTAACTAGTATCAAATTTTGTTTTCCAAACAATATACAATTGGATAAAAGTGAAGAAATTATCTCATTTCTAACCAAATCAACTCTTGACTTTCCCAAACACCTGAAAAAAACATTACCTTATAAAAAGCCTAAATCTTCTCTTGAAATTATTGTACACCAAAAGAGAGATCATTGTGTGTTACATGTACTTACAATGATTTTTTTATTATTCTTTAATATTTTATGTTTTATGTTTTGATCTTTAAATTTTTTTTATTTAATCCTTTAAAATTGCAATGATATGATAATGTGGATTTGAACTTGGTAAATTGTCTTGTCTGTTTATGAATAAAAATGTTAAGGCATCAAGAAAATATTTTGTTACTAGGTTGAAACTCAATTTGACTAAATAAAATTTAATTTTATTGGCTTAAAACAATTAAAAATTTAGGGAGTGACTTTTAATCTTAGGCAAATATTAAGCTCTTTAATTTTCTCATATTAGGGATGTGGTTGCACTAGCAAGGGAAAAATGAAAATCATTTTTTTTTAGTTTTTAAATTATTTGTTTTTCAATTTGACCCTTCCAAATTTAGTATTTTTAGAAATTGACTTCATGATTTATTTTGATTTCTAGATATAAGGATCTCAAAATATCAATGAAAAAAGTTTAGATGGTTGTTTCATGCTTGGTTTGTCATAATAAAACTAAATTTTGTTGAATCGAAATAGTTAAAACATGAGGGATCAAATTTTAAAATGTGTAAACTGGTCTTGTAACCCGTGCTATTTCAAGATTAGGCTTTCAAGTTAATTTCTGGCAGGAATAAAGAAGTTGTAAATGTTATAAATGTATTTCTAGGTATCATAATGTTTTTTAAATTGAGAAATGAAAATATATTATTTATGTTTAATAAAATAAATTTAAAAAATATATAAACTGATTAATTGATAAGAAGTTGTTGACACCAATTTTCATACTAAAAGAAAATAATAGATGCATATGCAAACATTTAAACTTGGTTGTGCTTTTTATTTTATATATTTTTATTAATTGTATCTTAAAAGTTAATTATAGTTGCTAAAAACGTAAGATTTTCATTTTTATAAATATGTCATGTAAATATAATTTATTTATATACTATATAATATAAAACAATTAAAGATAAATTATAATAATATATTTTAAGAATTATAAAACTAAAAAAATTAAAAAAAATTAATTATTGTTTTTAAAAATAAACTAAATGAATTAAAAAATAAGAGATAAGGTGTTTAAAAATAAACTAAATGAATTAAAAAAAAATAAGAGATAAGTCATTATTAAACTTTAAATGAAAATTTAATGAAAAATAAAAATAAAATAAATAAATAAATAAGATAGAGGGCATTAATTAAAATTTAAAAAAATCAAAAGTAAAAAAAAAAATAGTGTTGTTGAGTTTAGCATGATAGGCCTTTGTATTTGGCTATTTTATTTTATTTTGAAGGAGCAAACATTGTTTACTCTAGGTTTTTTATCTAGATGATTGATAAGTCATTTGCTGTTACCGATAATTTGTGATCCTTTACATTGTTTTTTAGTCATTTCTGATGATCAAAAAATTAAGGTTCGAGTTTTTGGGCCTAAAAAATTTATTTTTTAAAATGAGTTTATTAAACTTTATAAGATATTTTTTAGGTGTTTTTAAATCTTGATAAATTCATTTCTAACCTAAAAAAGCCTCTG